TTTTTTTGGGGGGGCGAGGGGTTACAGGCAAACAGTCCCATTTTATAGCACAATCAATCAACTATGTTATCTTCGGTTGTTATACCGTATGTCAAAGATAACTTAAAAGAAATTAGACTTCATAATTTGAAGCCTTAATATCGGGTCTCTGTCTCCTTAAGTTTCTACTCTTTGACACTCTGCCTTCAGCACGTCATCACAATAATGCTTCTCATTATGACGTTAGCAACCATTGTTGGGAGCATAGAACTGAGAATTAGTGTGTATGTTAATCAGACCAGCTAACTTGCAATTAGCAAGTTAGGTGCTTGCTAACTGCTGCTACTCTGTTAGAGCTGTGTGAGGGAGGTGAGGATGGAGGTGTATTGTAAGGTGGAAGCTCAGCTGGAGACTACAGCTCCAAGAGGAGCTTTGTGGAAATACTCGGCGTCCTGTGGGAGCAAACACAAACACCTCTGAATGACTGCCACAGGAAATTCAAGGAGTTCTCAAACATGCATGAAAGAATCAAGGCGACACTCTAGCTATGTTTTTGATTAGGGAATAATAACATGATATAAAGCTCATAAAATCTCTATTCAGCTCTCCTTACTCTAAAGAGTAAAGAGATTTCAATAGAGATTTTTAAAATCAACTTTTTTTTTAATCGACTGTAACCAACTGCCTTCAGAAGTCACATAGTGTTTTCAAATGAACATGTCCTGTTGTTCAGAACAATAACTGCACATCTCTCTGTAGGAAGAAGTTTCCGGACCAGTCGCATCATTCCATACGCTGCCAACCTGCTCTTCGTTCTCTATGACTGTCAGCGTGGCCCCCGACTACAGCTGCTCATCAATGAGACTCCACTACGCTTTCCAAACTTTCAGACTGAGGATGCACCACTCTACAGGGATGTTCGTGCAGCATACCGCTACCTGCTAGATGGCTGTGACTTCAACACAGAGTGTGAGAGGAAACCCGAAGGCCGGGGACCCAACACTGAGCTTTGACAGCTTTAACCCTTACACAATCTTATTCTGTCTTAATCCACCTGGTGACAAAGCCTCAAACTCACTCAGGCATCATCCAATCAGATACTGTAGCTGCAAAACTGCTCTTCAAGGTCTGAACTTTCTTAAGTGTTGCAAAAACTGACTGGAGTGATTATTCCCTCTTAGTGGAGCTGTGACACTCCATTGAAGCGATTTCTTTTCATAAACTGCTGTTTAAAGGGCATCCAGATATCTACCAGCTCTTTTCAATAGCAAACAGTTTCTGTACCATTTCCAGCCTCTGCATACAAAAATATTAATGTAATCAACTGGAAAAATCTCTGTGTTCCACTCAACTAGCTGAAATTTACTGAAATTGTATTTAGATGAATACAAAGAATATTGCAGCAAGGCCTTACTCTAATTTTTTAACTGACTCTTTAATCTGGGATTCTGTCTGAAGCTTTAAGTTAATTTCTTGCTGACTCAGGTTTTATTTAAGGCAGCAGTATGTAACTTTTATTTAAAATGTTTTCTACATATGTTAAAACCATTGCTATGCCATGACAGCATAATATGAGCATATGTAAAGATGGATCTCTCTTCATAGATTGCAGCTACTATTGCAGTCTGCAAAAATGCACCGCTGCCAGTCAGTAGCCAAGAGGAAAGTATTGGAGCTGTCAATCAATTCCTGTATGTGCTGCTAAATGTGTTGATGGCAGAGAAATAATTTGCTGTTACAGGACCTTTATTGGTGGCCATGACAATTATCCTGAACTTTCCTGGCAGGCTATGTTGTGATAAGCCAGTTGTAGTTTATCACATAAGCTACAACTGGCTTATGTTGTAGCTGATACAGCAGCTTCATGAAAGCCAGGTATAAAATAAATTAATTAAAGCTTACCTTAAACAGCTCTGTAAATGCTGTTTACTTTTGTAAACAGCATTTACAGAGCCCTCCTTCTGGCTCTGATTGGTCGCTTCTAGTAAGCACTGGGAGAAGGCATAGGACCACAATTTTTTTTCACAGCTTATCTGCCTCATCCCATAGTGTTGCAACATAGTGACAGTTTCAACTAATATTTAAAACATATTTTTTTATCAAATTTACATATTAACAGTTTTGAAATTGTGACTGCACAAATTCCTGCTCTGGGTTTAGAAAATATCTTGTGGGTGAAATAATTGGTGTATGTGCCAAATAAGTTTTCAGGGTGCTTTTGGTTCCAAATGTTTCTGAATTAAAGCTTTAATAAAGCAAGATTTTCAGATTAAATATTTGTGCTTATTTACTAAAGCAGAGACATGTGGGACTATTTCCTTTTCCCAGGCTCTGCTTTGGCAGCCCCGCTTTACTCCAAAGTAATCACGTTTCCACAGACCTGGCTAGGTCTGGAGCAGGGAGACGCCTCCATGGAGGGGACAGAGGTATATAACGCCTGAGCCCCACCTCCAGGAGTTATAAATAAAGCCATTTACAAATATGGTTACATGTAGACATGTAATTGTGTGGCGGTTGTCATACTCCAAACCGCCACACAATTTAACAATCCTTATTGGTCCCCCAAAACCTCATGAAACGGCGGAAAATTCTATACTGTACCATGCTGCTAGCACTTACCAACAACAGCGCAGCCCACCATAAATAATAACCCGGGCAGAACACGATGTGCTAAATAATAAAACATAATTTAACAAAGCTTTGAAGCAGATAAATTTTCCTCGAGGAATTTTAATAATCGAGGTACTCGAATCATTTGAGGAATCGTTACAGTCCTACTGTCATGTAAACTTTAAAACATAAAGTAATACAGCAGCTTCATGAAAGCCAGGTATAGTATAAATTAATTAAAGCTTACCTTAATCTTGGATGAAATGAAACCTCCACAGGTAGGATGCGTCGCTCCTTCACCCTGACGTTCCTTCCCTCGGGGGGGGGAGGGGATTTATGAATAATGTGCCACTGGGTGGGACTTCCACTGCAGTGATGGACATTATTTTATGGCGGTGTTTTTTGTTTTTAAAAAGTGATCCATAGAACAATCAGTCATGCATAGTTGGTTAGAGTTACCCCAAAATTGTACTCCAATCAGAGTAGCATACCCATACCTTAAAAACACCTTTTTAAGCAAGAGTAAAAAGTATTTGGTAAACTACTCAAGTACTGAGTAACTGATCAACTGATCATAACACCTGATTTAATATTCAAAATGTGTCCTCAGACAGCCAAAAGTATAAAAGTTATGTGAACATTCTGGTACTGTAAAGAGTATTACTAAAATATTTATAGAAATAAGGAGTTAGGTTTGGAGGCTGGTTCTAGACCAAATTTAACACAGGGGCAGGATAGTTGGTGGTTTTCCATGGCGACACTTGAAAAAGAATGGGGGGAAAAACCCCAAAACAAAACAGAGCATTATTTCATCATTTGATATAAGTGAGCCAAAGAGCCACTTGTGTCCCCAGAGATCCAGGTTGCAGATCCCTGGCAGATGGAAAGTGTGATCATATACAGCAGCTAAAAGTGCAGCACTATAATTTTTAATTTGTTGTTAAAGTAAAATTGTGAAGGTTAAAAAAAAAACGCTCCACCACTGAGCATTAACATAAGACATTTATTTAGTATAACTTCTTTGGTACCCCGTTGGCCCCCATCTAGAACCGCCCAAGACTGCAGGTCTGTGTCTGGTACATAAATGACCACTGAATAATGAATCCATAAAATATATCAGCATTTCAAAATAAAACCTACAGAAAGCCCCAACAAACCCTTAAAGTAGGAAATATGTATGTATTTAGTGTTAATCTATTTGTATGTCTTGTTCTTTAAATGACCATTTGTATTATTTAGGCTGCTATTATTATACATTAAATAAGCAAATAATCAAACCAGTAAAAGCACAATAAGAAACTTACTCATAGCAAAATCTTCTGTACCATATCAGCCTCGGGAGATGATTGAAGGATGAAGAGACGCTGATGTCAAGTGTTTTAGGTTCTGACGGGTCTGCAGTTCCTCTCCTGATCATGCATACAGCAGCACACTGCGCCACGATGGACACATTTTTTTAATTGCCTGTGTTCATTCTCACTAACATTATTCAGCCTAGGATTTGCGTCTTCCCTCGCACGTCTGTATCTTTATGAGAGGTTTTACTTCTAAGTACGGTGAACAGTCGGGTCGAGGACGTTGTAAAAAGACGCGGGTTGACAGCACCTCACCGCGGCTGCATAGTGTCCGTCTCTAGGCAACCGTGACAACAGCGTTGGTCCGTAGCGTTCTGGGGTCCCGTGTAGCTCCCGCCATGACAATTTAGCTGACTTTAATATTTCCTGTGTTTTGTTTTGGTCGTTATTGTTACACTTAGTGTTGATATGTGTGTGATAGGCGTGTCTATCGGACATTTATAGAATACGGAACAAATCGCGTCCCGTATCGGTTCAATACGGGACGCAACATTTAACGGCCAAATACGGGACGATTCCGTATTTGAAGGGACGGGTGGCAACCTTAAGATACTATAAAAGCATAATCCATCTCACGTCTAGGTAACGTAGGTGATCCAATGCTGTCAATGTGAAGGGCCATAACAGAACCATATTCCGAAAACAGCGTTGCAGGAGCTCCACTCCGCTTGTTGCCAAGGAAACGCGTCTGCGTCTGGATCCGTCTGGTCTGTTCCTACGTCAGTACAAGACTGGACTCTGGCAACAATGGCAGAGAGAACATTACATGACACAAAATAATTGAGAACCACTGATTTTCTATTATTTTGAACAAGGCGGCAACAGGATGTCTGTCTTGTAGAAAATAAAAGCATGTGGCATGACGTAACCGAAGTTTATATAGAATATAGGAAATAGTCTAAATCTGTTGGTTTCAATTCTTCAAATGCACTTAAGAAAAGACAAGGAGGCAAAAAGGCCATTTTATTAATGATTTACGCTGGAGGAAAATTTACGCAGTTTAGAAATTACATTGCAAGAGTAAAATTCTTGTTGTGATCGATCCCTTATTTTGAAAGCCACTGAATGTCCTTCATACTGCCGCGGACTTGACGCTCGGTGGCCGCTGCTCGGAGATTGTTTTACTCTCCGCGTTGCTGCATTTAATCACTGCATCTTTGCAGTTCTCCGAGGCCTGGAACAGTTCCCTTGGATCTGTCCGGAGGTTATGGTCTGCACTGGCGAGCGACGCGGTGGTTCTGTGTCTGGACGGGGGGACCTGAACATCCGGGCCCACAGAGGGAGCAGCCCCTGAGCTGACCCAGAAAGCAGCGCCGACGGCCGGGGGCTGGCTGTCCACACGCAGGACGGTTAGCATCCGGTTGCTGCTGCGGAACCCGGAGAGATACTCGGGCCTTTGACTGCTGTGAGAATATTTTTCGGAGGATTTTTAGTGTTATTCTATAATTTCTGTGGAGCTTGGAGGACTAGCGAGGAGCTAGCTCCTAGCTAGCTGTCGCCGTTAGCGCATCTGTCCTAAGCCGACAGAGGGATCGGGGGCTCCCAGCCGTGCCCTGGTGCTTGGTTAACGGACCTCTGGGAACTATGGCTGCTAATCTAATCAAGGAGATTGTTAGTAGGAACAAGCGGCGGTATCAGGAGGATGGGTTTGATCTGGACCTCACTTGTATCTTTCACCTGTTAGCGTGGGACTCCCCGCATAATTGCATTAAAAACGCAACATTTACATTAGAACTGCAGAATCATAGACAGAACTGCAAATACATATATATTGTATTTATAGACCATTTATAGCTGCAGTGTTATTGTGAGAAGTCACAGATTGGTTATTGTAGCAGGAAAACGTATTTTTTCAAATTCAGCAAAGCCTCTTTGGGTTCCAGCTGGGAGGGATGTCCTTCCCGGTTGTGTTGAAATATAATGAAATCAGCTTGAAGTTCCAGAGATGAGTGTGGGACTTAAGCTGGTTGTCCTCTGGTTCCATTGGGTTAAGGTGACAGGTTCTTTAGGCAGGAGGAGCACAGCTTTTGGTGGACTTAAATTGATTATTTTTCTACTTGCATGTTCTGCGGGTAAAAGTTTATGCAAAGCTTCATGCTTTAGTCACAGCAGAAAACGGCAAATGCAATTTCCCTTTAATGCAGGACACATTCTCAAGTAGTTGTAATGACCTTCAAGCATGATTTTTTTTTAATGACTTTATTTCATTAAAGGTTTGAACTCACCTGTTGAGTAACACAGTTTATATGGTTTTATTGGGGGGAAAAAGGCATGTGAAGAACCAAGCAGACAGATTTATGAATTTTGAATCTAGTCTTCATCGTAGCATTGCCCTTCAGGTCAGGTGATCATTCAGACAGATCTTATGATGCAGCAGCATCCTCTTCTTCCTTAATTTACATCATGGGGCAGTAAATCCACCATAGAATCAGTGGAGATGTCAGCTCCTGGTGGACTTTGAGGTGAGACCTTCAGACAGAAATAACAAGGTTCCACAGTCTGGTCTTGATTATATGAGTTGGGGAAATACTGTGAGAACTCGGGATAGGAATGTGTAATGAGTCAGATGGGGCTCTTGTGCTTTAGAACATGATCTGCAGACAGCATTACATTCTCACAATTCTGTTTTACATTGGTCACACTGATGGTGCGTTAAAGAAGAGAAATATCCTGTAATGCCGGGTTATTCCCAAGCACAGTACATTGTTATGTGTGGATTGTTTGTGGATCTGAACCAGCGAGGTTAATAGGGGAATTCTGCCAAAAGTTGAGAGGACACATTTTCAGTCTGAAAGCAGGATTTCATGTCTTTTGTTCTGCACAGTGGCATAGTTGGTAGCACTGTTGCCTTGCAGCATGAAGGTCCTGAGTTCAATTCTTGGCCCCGGGTCTTTCTGCATGGAGTTTGCATGTTCTCCCTGTGCATATGTGAGTTCTCTCTGGGTACTCCGGCTTCCTCCCACAGTCTAAAAACATAACTGTCAGGTTAATTTGTATCTCTAAATTAGTCAACTTAGTCACAACATGCTATCTATCTAAGTTGAAACACGGTTGGTTCTGTGAATCCATTTTCTGGCTCCATTAGGCTGTTAGCGATCAGTAGCACACTGCTGGCAGATTTTTAATGAGGAAGAGGAATACAACACAGACTTGCTGTGTGTCATGTAAGTCAATTCTAAGCAATTGATCGTACACTGTATGTCCAAATTCCTTATCTCTAAGTTGTTACACGGAGCAAAAAGCTGATGTCGTTGTTTCTCCCTACATCCAGCGGGCAGCACAGGTTGTTACAATCAATAGCCACACAGGCACACCCACTAGAAAGAAACAAACGCACCCAGTTCAACACCGTCATTCTATTGGCCGAGAGGTTGCCAGGCAACTGTACTTTTTGTTTTAAGAGCAAGCAGGAAAGAATTCGCAAGGAAGCAGAGAGGTTTACAAGCGGGGTTTTGATCTGAGCAGAGAGGTTTTGAGTGTGAGGAGAAAGGTTTGAGAAAGCACAGTGAATAATTGAAAGACAGCAGAAGTTTTGAGCACAAGCTTTATAAGTTTGAGAAGAAAGACATGAAGTTCTGCTTTTAAACTGAAAATGTAAACCCAAGTATTAAAAGTTTTGAGAACAAAAGACATGAAATCCTGCTTTCAGACTGGAAATGTGTGCTTTCAAATTATGGCAGAAAAATTCCTCCATACAGATCCTGTTGAGGTTTGGTTTGCAGATTTAGAAATTCCATTTGATGATTCAGCCTGAATCACATTCAGGAAATTAAAAAGAAATGAGAGTAGTTTACAACTCAGTTTGCACGTGTGCATTTGTGTATTTCTCTTGTTTGTCTGATCTGTTTTAATAAGTGGACGTGCAGTTCCAGTCGTTAAAGCAGTTCGGTCTGCACAGAGGCTGACGAGCCACAGCTTTCTGATCACTAGGGTCATGTTGCAGCTCAGGAAACTCTGGCTCAGGTAAATTGGGTTCTGGTCTAGTTTACAATATTTTTGAAATATTGCAAAAATATATTTTTATTGCAAGGCTTCCCATTGAGCAGAGATCAAGATGGAATTACTGCCTTTGTCATTTTTGTCCTTCAATAAACACAATATAAGAAGGTCAAGAAAAACAACCAAACCAAAAACATAGACAAGGGCATTGAAGGATAACATCACCCACTTCCCCTTATGGAACCCCCCTAGTGAGTGCTATCTAGGCATAGTAAGACTACAGCTTGTACAGTACATTTCTAATTATCTTTCTCTTTCATAAGTGATTGCAAGGCTTCTTGGTGGCAGATTTTTCTCTGGTTTCCAGATTTTTTCAAAATCTCCCAGTTTGTCATTGAGAATGTACCGTATCAGTCAATATTGCCATCCAGGCTTTAAAAGTTGGGCCCTCCTTTTCTAGGACAGCAGGATGAGTTTCTTGCCAGAGGATTCAATAAAATAGAAGGTGTTCCTTGCTTGGTTTTAAAATGTTTCCTCACAGCAGAGACTCTGCTACCTTCAGAATGGCTGAAGCAAACAGTGATCTGGTGCGGAGCAGAGTAAACCTGATCCGGAACCAAACATACAATCAGAACTCAGATGTTGGTTTGGTTTTAAAATTACCTTGTGTGTCTGTGGGTCCACCTTCTAGTCTGACTGAGCATTGTCTGAAAGGCAGTTTATGAAATTGACTGAAGGTGGTGCTGCTGTGCAGCAGAATGAAGTAGATCTGAATGGATTCAGAAGTTGGATAAATAATCCAAAACTTTTCCTTTGCCAGGATTTAAGTAAATTGAAATGTGACTCCACAGATGCTGAACTGCGATGTTTGCTGCTAGTAAGCTCCAGAAAAACTGTAATTATTCCAGACAGAACAAGAAGAAATGGATGTACTGATGTTCTGCTTCTTCAGCGGTTGTATCAGGCACTATGTCTGGTTTGATCTGACCTCAGGCTGATTCTATAAAATCTTCCTGAGAGCTGATCATAAATTCTGATCAATTCTCTGAAATACCTGGGAAGGGAATATAAGGAAATTGATGGAAGCACTATAGTTTAAGGAATTTAAACTATTTGGTGTTGAGTTGCTCTGCTCAGAGTGCAGGAGGAATGCTGTACATTAACCTCATGTAATTGTCAGACTTCAGTCCTGTTCATGATGGAAAAGAAGCTCATTGGTTTACAGATGCTGCTTACAGAATAGTGTGAAGGTTGCTTTTAGAACCATCAGTGTTCCCTGCAGCCCTCAATAAGGTTCCATTTTAGGGTTTTTTTGCCTCAGAGTTCTTTGATTTTGAGTAATTGCTGATATCCAGACCTGATCTGGTACTTCAAAACTACATTTAAAAAAATGCAGGAGTGAAGAAACAGATCCAGGTTGTCCCTTATTTTTTTATTTTATCCACCTTATTTATCATTTAACAGAACACAGGCAGTGTAAATCAAGTACAGGTACCTTTGGATGCAACAGTTTTAGTTCAAAAAGACATTGGACAACATAAAAACTATGTTTACATTATATTTCATCCAGAGCGGGGTCACCGGCAGCTCTGTGCGTAATTCCATTGGAATGTGGAAACGGGATGGAGTTTCCTCCACTCTACTGCATGATGAGCCAGTAAGGGCTTCGGAGGAGGGAGGGGCTCATGTCACTGCAGTACTAAAGGTGCTTTCCCATTTTGTCAGCAAAGTCCCCAAAAAACCAAAGATTTTTCACTAGTCACTTTTTTGGAGAAAAAAAATATAAATTAACCAGGGGTCTGAAAAGTTACCTGTTACATCGTTGTTAAGTTGGCAAAAGTGCTCCCAAGCTAATGCTGTGTTCTGCTTCGCCTTACAGCCATCACTACTGCAATGAGCTGCGCATGTGTTGTTTCGAGACATTCTGATTCTGTACCACCACATAACCTCAGCAGCAGGGGCGCTGCCAGGAATCTTGGGCCCCATGACAAAAAATTAGATTGGGCCCCCACCCTGCGCAACTACTGTTACAAATTTCTTGAGTCTATCTGACCCATCAAAAGCATCATAATTTTAAAGGCTTGCATAATTTTATCGCAACTGCCTTGCTTTCTTTGGTCCAATACTGATACTAGCACAATATTTACTACTTGTGAATTTTACCTGCAACAGTCTGCATACAATACAATACAATAAATACAATAAATTGCTTAATTTTTTTATTATTACTTTTATCTCATTGAAATGTCTCTTCCCACTTCCAAGTCTCAGACAACGTGCAAAATACATATGAAGCAATCCAGACTTCTAAAAAAAAATGCTATGTAGTTGCATTTTATTCAAACTGCAGTATATAACTTTAATAAAAAATATGTTTTCTCCATATTTGTTATAGCTGTCATCATGTCATGACAGTTATGAGGCAGATAATCTGTGAAAACAATCTCCTCCACCTCCTCCCTGAACTACTGTTTCTAGCTAAAATAATGCAACGTTATGACCAAAAACAACCAATCAGAACCAGGAGGAGGGTTTTAGTGCTGTCAGTCAACTTCATTCACTCACTGCTAAATGTGCTAATGGTGGAGAAACAACTTATTAACACATGAACACTGTTTATCTGCCGTCATTGATAGCTATGTTAACTAGACTGAGCATTCACAGTTTGAATCTGCATAGCTCTGTGCTATGCTAGCTGCAGCATAACAAGGGGGAGGGAGGATGAGCAGCCACATGAGATTGTGATTGGCAGTGCTAAAACTTGCCTCCTCCCTCTTATTGGTTGTTTCTAGAGAGCACTGGGAGAAGGCAGAGGAAATAATTTTTTCACAAATTATTTCTCATGCCGTACTGTCACAACACAATGACAGTTCAAACAAATATGTAGAACAATACATTTTATAAAAGTTACATACTGCAGCTTTAATTTCACTTAAATTAAAGTGAAATTAAAGCTGCACAGGTCAGGAGGACAGGTCAGGAGGAATGTTGCTATATATATATATATATAATTTAAATGCAAGCTAAGGTAAAACTGTGGACTGACTGCAGTCCAGACAGGAGGCTGTTTTTTTTAAATCATTTTATAAAGATTGTTTGAATTTCTGTCAGCAACAAATATATTGTTTTTGTTGCGTAATTTTAAAAAGAGCAAGGACACAGAAATCCCTATGGATTCCCTGGAATGATGCTACGTAGGTTGTCATTGGATACAGTGTTTCTCACCTTTTTCACTGGGACGGGGTAAGGAGTTTATGTTGGTATCGGGGATTAGAGCTGCTGCTGACTGACTCATCTGTTCTCAAGTGTGGTAAAAAGTACAGGGACAAGTTAAATATATTAATATCTTGGTATTTCTTTTCCTTAATTCATTAAATGCTATGGAGGCAAACAGTAGTCTGTAGCTAAGCTTACTATGCTAAGTGGTTGATAATCTCACACAGTCTACTCACCTCTCTTGGAAAAAAAACTGTCACAAATAGACACTCGTCTTTTTCTCTCTCTTATATCTCTATTTTTTATTTTTTTAAACTTGACTTTATTATTTTTCTAGGCAGCATAGTAACTGCCGCAGTCGTTCTTGTCTTATACTGACTGCTGCTGAAAACGTCACTGTCAAGCATGCTAAGCAGGAACGAACCATTTAACGCAGATACATGGGGGTTCAGGGCAAATATGAATGTGTGCTTATTGGACTGGGAGGGGTAACATTTAATTTTTACTGCTAAAAACAATAATAAAAAAAAATACCACAATACTTTCCCACCCCGTGCCACGCCCCTGCTTGATAGTCTTATTTATTCCCATTTGTGTTTAGAATCAATATGCGTATATCTGATCCGTGATCGGTATGTAACGCCTGCTTCAGATCAGTTTGAAAGCATGTGATTGGCCCGATTTCCGATCACATAATCGGATTGGGACAACCGGCATCTTGTGGGGAGCAGCATGAGCACACCCACCCACCCTCGCTCTTACAACCAGAGGATCTGAATATCAATAGTGCCTAATGCCACACAGGCTGGGACCACCTCTGCCACGCCCTGGATATTGATTAAAGTTTTTGTTGAGCTTCAATCAGTGGAGCTGAGAGCTTATCATGGTTTATATAATATGAATGTGAGACCAACACTGTGAATTATTTGAGTTGTTAAGAGAATGAGTTGTAAACTATTTATTTTGCCAATTTAGAAACTTTTCTCTGAGCTGTTCCACAGGTTACTTTCCTGAACTTACCAACCAGATATCTATCCCAACATCATTGCCATGGGTTTTCCCGCTGAGCGACTTGAAGGCGTCTACAGGAACAATATCGATGATGTTGTTCGGTGAGTCACAGACAGAACAAGAACACAGCTGGGCCACAGACAAAGCAGCTTTATGAAAAAATCAAACTGAGGTGTTGTGGGTTTGCTTTAGAGCCGAGATCAAACATCTGCCTCGTTAACAACTTTCTCAAAAAAGAAATATGTCATAAATAAAAACTTTGGATGCTTGTATGTTCCATGTTTTCACATTAACTGTTAAACTGGGAGGGTTTAACTGTGTCGCATGCTAGTTGGATCATGTGATAATCATACTATGTGCAGTTAGATAAGTTCTGCACTGTGACAATGTAACTTCTAACTATTATCTCTCTGTGCAACCAAATCCTTTCTGTGTTGTTCTGGTTATTAGTGACCGTGATATAATGTATACAGTCGTACCTTCACTTATATATTCACATTATGGGATGGATTTATATATAGGGTGGCCCACGAAAAAGTAGCCCGCGTTACTATAGTATTACTGGCGGCTTTCTTTAAAGAAAGAAAGAACTTGAAATACCAAAATCTTTACTCACTCAAATGACAAATGATCCCCTTGTGTGTCAATGCAGTTTTAGGTGCGCCTTAACATATTGTCATATACGTGACGCAACTCTGGGGCACCAATGCTCTGAATTGCATTACGAATATTGTCTTTCAATTGCTGTAAAGTTCTTGGGTTATTAGCGTACACTTTTCCCTTCAAATTGCCCCACAGATAAAAGTCACAAGTTGTTAAGTCCAGCAACTTGGTGGCCACTCTGGCAGGAAGGCGGGCTACTTTTTCGTGGGCCACCCGGTATTATAATGGCAATGAGAACAAAAAAAGCAACCAACACCAACAGGACAAAATCACAAAAGGAGAGGATATAAGGGGCACAATTTAACAAACAATACCACAGAAGAAAAAATAAAGAGGAGAGACTGCCAATCTTAAAATCAAATGCTTATAACAATCATAGTAGTTTCTAAAGTGTAATAAAAATGCAGCATGTCAGGTATAGACACTCTGCATGTTATCGCTTTCATCTGGAAATTTTGCGTATGTGGACAACGGTGGAGAGCAAAAGAATCATTTTACCTGCCATCCTCAACCACGCTGCCCCGGTATTACAATTCATTTAACAAAATTAAACCTGGAGATGTAGGTATTGTTAATTCAGTGCAGTGCGCAAGAGTAAAGGGGACATAATGCGAAAAAACTGTTGAAGAACAACTCGCCGTTTTTCTTTTTTCTTTTTGCTGAACCAAGAACACTGAATTCTGCAGCACATCTACATGTTAAAGTTGTCAAAGTCGAGCTAGCATAACTGACCTACTTCCCTCTTCGTCTCTATTTTTTTTTCTAATTAAAACTTTTCACTGATTGGTGAAATGTGCTACCCTTGGTACTTGTGATAATGTTTACAATTAGTATCAAAGCACTAATTGTGTGGAATTGCAATGTGATGCCATGTGTGCAAGATCCCATCTTCCAGTTCCCTGTTGGAGGGCAAAAGACTGCTAGCTGATGATAACCATCATTGATTTTAGCTGTTAACATTGTGCACTAAATCTTAAATATACACAATACATAAGGGATGCATTGCTTTTCCACTAATTGTCAACACTACCACAAGTAGATAGCAACTAGTTTTTGTAGGAAAAAGTTATAATAAAAAAAATATATGGAGGTAGAGAGAAGTGGGTCAGCCATGCTAGCTTGACTTTGACAACCTTATCATGTAGATGTGCTGTGGAATTTGGTGTGTTTCAGTTCAGTTAAAAAAAAAAAAAAAAAAAGGAGAGAGTTTGAGACCACTGCCCTAACCATGTAGGACCTTCACCTCTGGTGGTGTGGACTGTGACACACATGGGACAGCATCCGGCTTTAGAGACTGAACATCACTACTGCAACAGATCATATTCACTTTGAGAGAGAAACTCTGAAGAGGAAACCACTCTGAAGAAACTCAAACTGATCTATGATACCTAATTGACTTATTTTTATTTTTAGGTTCTTGGATTCCAAGCACAAGAATCACTATAAGATCTATAACTTGTAAGTACTACTGTCCTCTTGTTAGCCTGGTTCAGCTTTTGATCCCTTCACATTTAGGAGCATTCCTGGTAAAGACGTTTAGAGGTCAAAGATTTCTCGCTCCAGATTTCCTTCCTAAGGGAATTATGGAGGTGTTAAACAAACAAACTCCAGCTCATATAAACTCAGCTGCCCGCCCAACCGCGTACTAATATTGGGCGATTGGACAAATTTATTGACCATCGATGAAAGACTGCGCCCTTTGCTGGTTGTTTCTTCTTAAGGCCTTTTTTTTTTTTTTTTTGCCTATGAGTTACTTTTTTATTACTCTAGTAACAATTCTTGATTGAAGCCAAAAGACGCAGCACACCATCAACTACTGCCGTTCCAGTTTTTTTTTCCCCAAAGTGCGGCAATTTATTTACCAAACCTGGAACAGAAATACACTACCCTATTTTCAGAAATTACATTTATTGAAATACAATGAGGGGTGACTGGCCTTTCCCTAGTTTAATTGTGCTTCTGGATTTGTATGACCATATGCTGTTTAATACTAAATTAAACACAAACTAAAATTAAAAGAAGAAAAACAAATCCCTGCCACAGTTTCTTTTTGAGTGATTTGATGCATTCAAAATAAATACATGATGTAAACACCCAAAAACTATGCAGAATTCAAACAGGGAAACTCTGCAATGTCTTCTAGATAAATTTTAGAAATGCTTTTATAAAGGAAACAAGCATGTCATGAAATCCTACTTTGAATTTAGCAGTGTGTGCAGCCTGCGCAGGTGGTTAACAATTTTACCAGTGGATCTGAAGACGAGTTCAGAAGCTGCACTCATGTCTTTGTGGTCTCACAAGCCACAAATATGTGGTTAGGTAAGCAAGCTGATGTTGGCTCCTCTCAGAGAGTTGCTTTCCACAGACCAGTATGTTTGCCTGCTATTTGTGACATCAGTTGGAAACGTCTTTTATGCATTTTCCTTTGAGAAATATTTACAGCTAAGGTGCCCTGTGTCCATATGGGGCGGTAATTTTTTTATTGAACTGTGTTTTGTATTTCTGCTAGTGAAAAACTTTTTCAGAGCTTGCTAGAGCTGCAGCAACTCGAAACTGCTCAAGTTGTAATCCACACCCTGTGGTTTACCTCTTCATCCTGTTTAAAGCCAAAGCAATCCCAAATAGGTGACTTTGTATTCTTTTTTTGGCAACTAATTCCTCCATTTTTTTTTACTTTTGTGTTCTAAGCTGGCAAATCATTGTTAGGTTACTTGTTGTTACACACACACACAAAAAAAAGTCCAAAGGTCACCCATCGTCATCTGATAGACTGACGAATATTGGCTTGGAAAATCCTGGATATCGCCCAACCTTAACTCACACCCTCTCCCATGACCACATAATCCCAGTTCTTCAAAATATACACTGGCTCCCTAACTCTAAGCTCATTGAATTCAAAATACTCCTTGTCACCATCTGTCACTGTTCTGACCTTCTCACTTTGAAATCTGCAAGTCAACTTTAAAGTGAGATTTCATACAGATTCTACACTCAAGACCCATCTTTTTACAATTTTTCTTAATGTGTAACATTTCCATGATTTCTTATTACTGTTATTTTTAATTTTATTATTGTACAATGTCTTTGAGTTTCTTGAAAAGCGTCCCTATTTCCTTAGATGTGCAGAGCGACACTATGACACTTCAAAGTTCAGCTGTAGAGGTGAGACAGTCCCCCGCCCTCTGACCTGTTGGAAGACCAGTTTTTGTATTTATCCTTACTAACTACTCAGTTCTGTTTCAGTGGCTCAGTATCCATTCGAAGACCATAACCCGCCCCAGCTGGAGCTAATCAAGCCATTCTGTGAGGACTTGGATCAGTGGCTTAGTGAAGATGAGCATCATGTGGCTGCCATCCACTGCAAGGCAGGAAAGGGCCGCACTGGAGTCATGATCTGTGCCTACTTGCTGCACCGAGGAAAGTTCCAGGAAGCTCAGGAGGCCCTAGATTTCTATGGAGAGGTCCGGACAAGAGACAAGAAGGTCAGTAAGTCAAGAACAGCAAAGACCAGGTAAAGATGAAAACACGTGTGTTTGCCATATGTTACAAGCAGGAGTGTCCTTTGGGTTATTGAGTTTACACCAACATCCTTGATCCTTCTCCCGATCTCTCTTCCTTATCATGAATCAGGTCAGAATGCAAATAAAGTTGGAGCTGCCGAGTGTGTTAGGTTTGAGGTTTAACAATAAGGAGAAAGAAACAATGAGCAGCTGAATCTTTATGATCCTTATGTTCTGGTTGCAGCTGGTTGAACTGAGCTGCCATCTTTGGTCTGCTTTAAATGGACTAGAGTTCGTTTCCTCTTGGGTTTGAACCTTCTGTGCAGGTGTAAATATGCTCAAGTGGACCCTGGTGCTCCCCAAACAGAGAGAGACCCACTTTTTGAGTTAGTGGTCTGAGTCCACTTTCAAACTAACACTGGTTCGGTTTGCTTTTGGAGTGAATACAGACCTGTCTCGTTTTGAACCAACTACAGGAAACATACGTCTTTTTGGACTTCTCGAGACACCGTTGCTGGGCATCATGGTAAAAATGAGCCCTTCAGTGTTGCTAACACGACTACTGCATGTACTAATTGTAATGAAATCATACCTGATCTATTGTCTTCTGCTTAGCAATGCTGCTGCCAGCATGTTGTGTCATGGCTTATTAAGTTAGCAGCACGCATTTGCTGACGTGGTTCCAAAATTAGAAATATCACATCGCGAAACCTGAGTTGAATGACCAGCTCTTGACATTCAAAATTGTATTGCAATTGTAATAACAAGCACATGTTAATGCGTACAACATAAATTCAGCATGCAGGACTTGCATGATTGTTTTCTTTCTTTCTGGGTCTGTGCTCTGTTCCGCCCCTCATCATTTCTATCAAATGTTAGCAACAATCATCAATGACATGGCTTTGTTTACAAAATATAGTTCACTTTCAAAAAGTACAATGTGAAAGTAAACTGCACCAAACAAAAAAAATAAAGTCCGTTTTGGTCTGAATGATACAAGTGGACCAAAGGTGTCCACTTGTATCAAAACCAAAGGTTTTCTGGTGTGAAAATCCCACCAGATCCCACCCAATCTTGACGCTGCTATTCTTTGTGTGTGTTCAGGGTGTGACCATTCCCAGCCAGCGACGCTACGTCATCTACTACAACTTCCTGCTCAGGAACCGGCTGCACTACAAACCTGTGGCACTGCTCTTCCACAAAATGTTGTTCGAAACCATCCCCATGTTCACGGCTGGTACATGCAGTAAGTTCTAGAAACCAGATCCAGACCCTGGTTAATCTTTCGTAATCCAGAGTCCTAGTTTCTGGACGATTTAGTTCATACTGAGATCATGTTAGAAATGTAATATTGTTTCCAGACACTTTTCAGTTCTAGAATCAGACCCAAGCCAAGGTTAGTCCTGAATGCCGACACAGTCTCAATTTTACGTCCCTACCCAGACCCAAACTGTTCTCAGTTCAGTTGCTGACCATATTCGAGTTCCATTTCAGTTCATTATGTAATCTAGAAGAAGGGAGTGACGCTCAGGTGTTTTTGTGTCTTTAGACCCTCACTTCGTGGTCTACCAGCTAAAAGTGAAGATCCACACCTACAACCCTGCTTATACTCGCAGGGAGGACAAACTGATGTTGTTTGAGTTCCCTCAGCCACTACCTGTCTGCGGAGACATCAAGGTGGAGTTCTTTCACAAGCAAAACAAGATGATGAAGAAGGTGAGCAGGAGTTCATGGTGAAGAAGGTTAAGAGGAGATGGTAAGAATTAGGCCTGTCGTGATAAACGATAAATCAATTAATCGCAGGATAAATTAAACCTATCACCTCATTTTAATTATCGGCTTTATCGTCTCTTTCTGCCTTTTTTCTTCCTCTTAATGACACTGAATGAAAAAAAGGCTCAGGTCCGGTGCTCTCCACTGACCCTCCCTTCCTTAGTGTAATGTCCAGCTCACGCTACACGAGTTGTCGGCCCATTTTCAAAACCTGAGAAACACTTCAGCTGACAGAAATCCTAGGTACAACGGATCGATCAGGTTCGTCATGCCGTGTGGTGTCCAGCCACATGGGCACAAAATAATGGCTACAAGTCCAGTTAACTAATTTTAAGACCAGGCATTAATCAATGCTTTACTAGAATCTATCTGTGATGCATGTGGCTGGAGTCAGCATAAAATCCTGACTGAATGAAAATCATTATAACCTATTTATGTCACGTTAACAAAGAACAGCTGAAAACCTACAGGGTTTATCAACTGCGGTAGCAATTTGGCTCCAACTCCTATCCTTGTCATTTCTATATTATTTGCACAAAACGTTGAATAAACATTAATGTTGTTTCCACATATCATCTCCAATGTCCACTGGATTTTGGGTTGCGCCATGTCAGCTGTTTGAGATTCCCCTCCGTAATTTCCCCTCAGAAATCACGGAGGAGAATCCGCGCTTTCTGATTGTCTACCTGTCACATTCAGGGTTAAGGCTCCCAGTGGGGAAAACCCCTGATTTAGATCGGAGCGGCCACGACGATCTACCGTAACTCACCATACACTGCAGGATGATCGGTTACGAAACCACCGGCGACAATCTTAGATCGGCCAACTTTCTAAGATTGTTGTAAAGGGAAAATAGGGGCAAAACATCGTGTAGTGTGAACTATTGCATTAGGTAGTCAGATGTGCCCATCTTCTCTATTTAAATCTAGTGATTACTGAAGGGCAATATAGTATACAGACTTCATAATCTGCACTCTTTTGGTTTAATGCAATATTTATTTCCACTTTGGCTTTATGTTGTTTAGTTTTTATTCAAGTACGTTTTTTGTTAATGGAGACTGAGAATCCATTTTATTTTTGTTTTGGTTGTTTTGTTAATTTAGTTTATCAGTTCCAGTGTTATGTGTTTTTTGAAAATAAAGTGCATCTATCTATGGCGGGAAATCACAGATATTATTACCTCATTTTCATTAAATCAGTGTCAAAAGGTCTTGAAACAATATTATCGTTTATCGCAATAATTTTTTAGACAATTAATCGCTCTGCAAAATTTGTTATCGTGACAGGCCTAGTAAGAATGTTATGGTGAAGAACTTGCTCTCTCAACTTCGTTGGTTTTAAAACTGAGATAATTTGATCTTTTTGAATTAGAAAAGGAGTCCTAGAGAGGAGAGTTTGCTGGTTAGTCAAATCTCGGATTCCAGAAGACTCCTTTCAGTGTTACACGACCAGGTTTTCGTCCTGGTTGTGTAACACTGAACCAGCTCTACACCCTTAGTGGGTTCTGGAGGACACATGGGAGTTTGCCAACCATATGTATTTTGTGGACTTGGAGAAGGCATTCGACTGGGTCCCTCTGGAATTCTGTAGGGGGTGCTCCGGAGTATGGGTACCACGCCTTTTGTTAGGTTAAGTCCCTATACAACTTAATACTACGTTGCTGGCATTAACTTTGGCTTGTTTCCAGTGATAGTTGGACTTTGCCAAGGTTGCCCTTGGTCACCAGTTCTGTTCACAGTCTTTATGTATAGAATTTCTAGGTGGAGCCAAGGTGTTAAAAGGGGATATGTTTTGGTGGCATTAGGATTGTGTCTCTGCTTTTTACAGATGATGTGGTTCTATTGGCTTCATCAGATTGTGAGCTTCAGTTTTCATTGAAACAATTTGCAGCTGAATGCGAAGCAGCCAGGATGAGGATCAGTGCACCTCTTGAGCGTACTTCAAGAGGTGCACCTCACTTCAAGAGCTCAAGAGATGAGTTCTTGCTTAACCAGTTGATCCATGTTCCTACCTTCATCTATGGGCACAAGCTTTGGGGAGTGGCTGAAATGAAGTTTTTCCACAGTGTGTCTGTCCTCTCCCTTAGGCATAGGGTGAGAAGCTTGGTCATCCAGCAGGGCCTCAGAGTAGAGCTGCTGCTTCTTCACATTGAGAGGAGCCAGTTGAATTGGCTCGGGCATCTGGTTAGGACACCTCCAAAACGCCTCCCAGGTGAAGTGTTCCAGGCACTTCCAACCCACTTTAGCAACACGACTGAGTTTAGAATAGACCTTGCTGTGTTCTAGACTGCTCCAGAATACACTGGAGGAACTTTGCTTTGCGGCTAGCCTTGGAGTGCCTTGGGATTCCCCCAGAAGAGTTGGGGAAGTGTTTGGTTTTGCAGCTAGAACATGATCCGGATCAGAACAGCTGTAAAACGTCTGCAACTTAATAAGTGAGGGTTAGGAATATTGTTTAAAAATAAGCTGTTTTTCTGGTTGGGTTCTTTTTAATTTCAGAGGTTCTGGGTAAACATATATTTCTATTGCCAAAATTAGGACAAGAACCTCTTTTCATTTTTTCCGGCTCCAGATGTTCTTACATTCTTCAGGACATTCCCCCACTCCTGTCTTTCCAGTTTAATCTGAGTTTGAGTTTCTGCATGGAGCTTCAGGCATTCTTAGTGATGAAGCTCAGGTTAAATCTTCACCACTGTGAACACCTGATCTTACAACACAAACCATCTCAGCTGACTGATCCCTGGTACTTTTCTTTCTTTGTCCTTATAGGAAAAGATGTTCCATTTTTGGATCAACACATTCTTCATCCCAGGGCCAGAGGAGTCCTCAGACAGACTGGAGAATGGTAGCTTCCCAACACTTCGAGATCTTTCTGACAGAATGTTTCAGAATCCAGAATTGATGATGGGTAGTGAAACCAGCGACAGAGACTTTTTGGTTCTGACACTTGACAAGAATGAGTTGGATAAAGCCAATAAGGATAAAGCCAACAAGAACTTCTCCCCAAACTTTAAGGTAGAGCCAGATTGATGCTTCAGTCATTGTTTATTCAGACTGAAAACAACGTCCACTTTTCACAGATGTTCTCTGAATTACTTTTGGATAATCATTCTGTAACTTTTTCCAGATTTTTTATGGAAAACTAAAATATAAATAAAGAATAAATCATTGCTCATTTGGGTGCATGCAGGAACATTTGATTTTTCTGCTCATTGAGAACATTCCTGTTATTTCTGTTCCTCAGGTCAAACTGTTTTTCACAAAGACTGTGGAGGAAGGAGCCAACTGTGACACATGCAGTATGTCGACCTCAGTGACACCAGATGTCAGTGACAACGAGCCGGATCACTATCGCTATTCGGACACTACAGACTCAGACCCTGAGAACGAACCATTCGAAGATGATCTCCATAGTCAGATCACAAAAGTCTGACACACACACAGACATGCACATATTCAGTGTAAACGTGTACATAAATACACAAGGCCAGGAACACTGGATGGAGACCAGTATTCAACCAGACGTCTGGGCCAGAATTGATCTGTGGACTCTGGGTTTAAAGAGCTTGGATCAGATAATGACACCAAACTTATTTTATTTACTCGGTGCACAACCAAACAATCATGGTGGGGTGAGCAGTTGAAAGTGGCTGGGGCACAGAATGGGACAGTTCAACAGAAACCGAGTAAAACTTGAATCTCACAAAGTCAGAGGTTTTCTTCATTGAGATGAACCTAACCTTTCCTAGAATCTTTTATTTCATCTTTCTTTCCTTCCTCCAGAAGAATGTTTTTGTTTTGGAAACAAAAATATTCTAACTTTGTTTCCATTTCTGTCCTGTCTGAGTTCCGGCTTTGGTTCTTCTCTTTAAATTCTTGAGCACTAAATTCTTGTCCAAAATCATGTCAGCTGCTTTCCTATTGAAATGTTTCTTTAAATTGATCATAATCCAATCAGGATCAGGATCAAAAAAGATTTAGATGTGAACCCAGATGCACATCTGAATCCAGAAGTTTTAAAATTAGAGCCTCTGGTTGAGTTTGATCCCAATGCTCAAGTAGGCAGCTTGAGGAAGTTCTGTTGAAGGATGAAAAGCAGTCCAGATCACAGCAGGATATTTTAGTTTGCAGATTTTCTGGCTAATTGTTAACCATTGGTTTAGAATTTTTTTTTTTACTAGTGAGAGCAGGAAATCTTTAAGGTTAGCTTTGGATTCTGATCCTAAGATGTCCTCCTGACATAATGTTGTGGATTTCCAGCTGAGCTTGATCCAAACCTTTGTGTTGGCACAGTATGTGTTTGTGTTTCTTAGTTCAGAAGTGTTGGATCCCCAGGACTCTGTAATGGTAATAATCTTTGAGGTTCCTTGTCTTTGTGGCGATGTGTCGCTCACAGGGACTTTCCAGCCCTGTTAATGAAACCTATTCCAAATCAACTGGCATTTTGTCAATCAGCTGTTGGAGTCTGTCAAATCCCAGGTATAGGAAATGTATTCTGTTTTCCTCTGGCTTCTATCTGTCATTTACCTAAACGGCAAACAAGCTCATCTCGCTAACCATCCCTGTTCCAGATGCTTCAGCCTTGTAAATATTCCTGAGCATGTTCAATCCAGCTAGAAAAGCTCTTCTGGTTGTTTGGCAGCTTTCTGTTAGTTTCATGAACTTATCATATAAGCTACAGAGCCTTCTGGAAATGCAATCCAGGTTTGAGAAGAAACCTGAGGTCTTTAGAATGACTGGTCTAAAACTCTGTAAGAAGGCTGTGCCCCACCCCCTATTCTCCACCTCCCCCGAGTGTCACTACAGCTCAGCTGATTTCCTTTAAGGTTTCTGGTGCTAAAACATTTCAGAAGGTCCAATTATAGAGCCTCCTAATGGGCCAGATTTGTCAAATCAGAAGTGCTTCTGATGTTCAAGGTAAGGTAATTTTATTTATATAGCACATTTTCAACAACAAGGCATTTCAAAGTGCTTAACTTTGATTTTTTTATGTGTAATGTCAAACTGGGATCATGTAATCTAGACAGCAAGTTTAAATTTCTCTGAAGCTACTTAGAGATGTTCCAGTTTAGAGCCTGACTCTGGTCAGTTTTTTCCTCCCCTAGTTTTCCATATTGTTTTTCCTCTTTTGTTGCATCAGTGCTGTAAATGTTTGCTATGCACAGTCTTCAGATTGGGTCACACGGAAACTGACTGAGCTGGAGCGTATCTGACAATGAAGGACTCTTGAGCCTTAGTTCAGATGTATGGAAACTGAAGTTGTCTAATTGGAGATGTTTCACTGGTCATGAAACTTGTAGAACATTCTCTCTCAGGGTCAGATAGTCTCCTCCAAAAGGGACAGCAAGGCAAACTGCTTTGTTTTTGTTGAACAATGAAGACATTTGGGTTTAATATCAAAACATTTGGGTTTTACATGTAGATGTGTTAACAATTCAACACGTACCGCCCTTTGTTTGAATTCACTTGTTTTTCAAAGGAGCCAAACTATTGGAACACGTGATTGAAAGGTGTTCCTTGTTGACCAGGTGTTGCCTTTAACATTGATTGTTCAAACATTAAATAGCTCTGCTGGACTAGTCTACTTTTTGGCCTATGCTTAAACCTATTAGCTAGATATTTCTTGTTGAAGAGGATAAACCAACATGAAGACAAGAGAGCTGTCTATGGGAGAAAAGCAAGCCATTGTGAAGCTGAGAAAAGAAGGGAAATCAATCAGGCCCATTAGCCAAACAATGGACATAGCAAGCACAACAACTGGATTGTTCTGAATAAGAAAGAAACTGAGCAACAGATGGCAAACAAGCCAGTCAAGGAAAACAGCAGTAGCTGATGACAGAAATATTGGGAGAACTGTGAATAAAAATCCCAAAACATCAGTAAGTGACATCACTGACCCCACGGTGCAGGGCGAACGTATCACAATCCACTGTTCAAAGAAGACTCCAAGAAATATAGAGACTATACCCAAAGATACAAACCACTTAGTAGTAAGAATCAGAAGGCCAGATTGCAATTTGCAAAGTACAGAGATGAGCCACAAAAGTTCTGGTACACAATCTTATGGACTGATGAAACCAAGATTAATCTCTACCAAAGTGATGGAAAGGCCAAAGTTTGGAGAAAGAAAATAACTGCTTTGAATTCAAAGCACATAAGGTCATCTGTGAAGGATGGTGGAGGTAATCTCATGGCTTGGCCATGCATGGCTGCTTCTGGAACAGGCTCATTATTTTTTTATTGATGTGATGATGGTAGCATCAGAATTAATTCAGAAGTGTACAGAAACATTTGTCTGCCAATTTTACAGGGAAATGCATCCAAACTGAGAGAAATTTTATCATGCAGCAGGACGGTGACCCAAAACGCACATCCAGCAAAACAAAGAACTTCAACAGAGGAAAAAAATGGAAGGTTTTAAACTGGCCAAGTCAATCACCTGACCTTAACCCAAAAGAGAATGCATTTCACCTCCTGAAATGTTTTGGGAGAGAAACCCTCCGAAACAAACAAGAACTGAAAGAAGCTGCAGCAAAAGCCTGGAATAGCACCACAAACAAAGAATGCAACAGTTTGTGATGTCAACAGGTCACAGGCTTGAGGCAGTCATTACAAATAAGAGTTATACCACCAAATATTAAATACTATTCACTTTAAGTTTCTTTGTTTCTTCTGCTCACCTAAAAATGCTGTGGTGCAACACAAATAGTGAGATATTCAAATTTACTTACCACGTCTACTTGTAAAAACCAGGAATTAAAAGTTGACATTCTGAACTCGTCATGTACATGTTTTGATGTTACACCCAAACATTTTAAAGCAATTTGCCTTGCTGTTCCAATACTTTAGGAGGGGACTGTATATTTTCTGTCCGGTGTTGGTAAGGGTTTGATATGTCGAATGAAGGGATATGAAAACAGAGAACTGACAACTGGGCAAAAATTGTTAGGTTTCTGAGGGCTGTTGAAGTAGTTTTTCCAACAGTCTTCCAAATTTCCAACCCTATATCAATGAGGAAGCGTTCCATATTGATTCTTGGAGCCTTATTTCCACTCCAAAACTAAATCTTAATGGGTTAGGGTTAATATTTTAATAGGGGATTTGGACTTTGTAAGGGAAACTGCCTGGCACGAGGAGTTAAGGCAGAATTAGCTAAATAAGAACATTGACCAGCTGTTCATTTTTTGACAAGCATCAGGTGGATGAATTTATGGCCTTTCCTAAAGGTGCTGATATCCTAAAGTATTTTGGAACTCATCCTCAGCCAAGATGCTCAAATGTTTAGATTTGTTGAGAAGAATTGGAACCAGTATGGTGTTCAGTTGGAAGCAGAATCATCTGTCAGAACTCCCTGTATGAACAGCGATGAGCTCCAAGACAACACCTCTGCTTGTTCTGGATCTTCAGCCCATCTCATTGGGTTTCAGATGCTAAGCTGCAGCTCATTCAGGAAGTTCATATGTCAGAGGTGGGTTGATTCCTGCTCTGAAAAGTCGGTTCTGGACTTTTGAAATGGGTTTTGGGTGGGCTACATGGATCAGAGGTATCAACGGTCAAATCAACTGGGTGAGTTGACTTTATCAGACAGACCAGGAGACAGTATCATGTCTTCAAAGACATGATATATCACACTGCTCATGTTTGAATCAAAACTTGACCATTCAGATTCCATTTCAATCTCCATTTAGCAACAAAAAGCTCACTTGGATGTTTGTGTGATTTTGGGTTGAAGTGGTCGTTGGTTGTCCAGTCAGCAATTTTTGTTCAGCTGATTAGCAAAGCGTTGTTCGTATGTTGGTGCTTGGACCTGTACATTTCATGACACCAGTGTTCAGCTTTATTGGAACATCTGATTCAGTGGATATTTTAAGTTCCAAATAATAAAAACCTTCAATCACATCTGTTCCTGTAGAATGACTGTCAGTAACACATTGACGAGTTCTGAGTTGTGGAACCATCAGCTTCAAAAGATTTTTGTAAACATTTAATTTTTTCAGTCAGAAGTCAAACAGCAGAGCTGCTGTGACACTTTGAGTTGTTACTATACAAACACATTATTCTGACCCCTCCCCTCTTTTATCTGCCACTGCCCATTTTATAATGTAAAAAAAACAAAAAAAAAAACACTGTAAAGTAATAAACTATTTATAAACACCAATGGCGCTTTTCTGTTTCTTTAAAAGCTACAGCTCTTATTGATCTTCATGAAGTCAAAAGATAGATAAAAAACTGAATGTGATAGCAGATGTTAGAAGCAAGCTGTGAAACTAAAGCATTTCCAAGATCTATTGTCGTGCTGGCTCAAGCCCTGAAGCTGCGCTTAAGCTCCCAGCATGCACCATATTCTGTAGGTTTTGATCCAGTTCTCTGAGAACAGAATGAAACCAGGTAGAATGTGGTAATGTCTGAGAACTTCAAGATGTATAGGAGAACCCTGAGGAGAAACGAAGAAAAAGTTTTAGGAAACGATACAGAAGCTTGTTCTGCTGTTTCACAGCTCAAAATTGTAGTCTTACAGTCCTGCAGGCTTTTAGAATTTAGAGTGAACCAACTGAGAACCATTTTCTGTTTGAGCCATTTACTCTGAGTTGACTTTACAAGAAAGTGTTTGAACAGATGAATCAGCAGCAGTTTTGCCCAGTTGGAAAACCATTAAATTGACAAAAACAAAGTATTATTCTTTTGTAAGCATTTCATGACTTCCTGACACTTGTAACACAGAACAGTGTGACACCATCTGTCCTGGGAGCATGACCAAAGTTGCTTTTTCTACCTCTAGTGGAAAACACCAGAATATGAGATGCAGCTACATAATGTACATACAAACAATGCACGGGAAATTGTTTCAAAGCTTTTGCTTTCTTTCAAATATTATCATTTCTCCTTTAAATTTTTAAGTGCAAGCATTACAAGTTTGCTGAGGAAAGAGATGAGCTCCTGCTTTCAATCCAAACTGAAGATGTAAGATCTTTACTTGTGGCAGCTCGGTGTGTGGAAGGTGTGGAAAGAAGTTTTTAATAATCATTTATTCTTAGAAAAACAAAGACATATTTGGTTTTATCTTTGAATCACTTGATGCATTTAGGTAAATGACCCCAGTCAATAGGTTAATATATGGATAAGTGTGCAAATTAGAGGCAAATGTTCTGCTGGACATCTAGTGAGAGCTGAAGGGCTTTGCACACACTCAGTGCAGATTCCACACAGCCGTCAAAGTTGGAGTGGGTGAAAGCATCTCCTCCACATATGAGCAGCGGCTGCTCCGAGATAGTCATGTGGCCTGGACAATTGGGCACTGAGGTCAGCACCTGCACAAGGAATGGACAGCTGAGTAAGTCATTGCCTCACCTGGAGGAGATACACTCCTGACTCACCTGGGAGTATCTCCACTTCTGAAACTTGATGCTGACTGGCTGAGGTAGGTCAGGGAGCAGCCTGTGGAGCTCCTGTAAGATGACTGGCTGGATGGCATCCTTATCATTCTCCAAGTGCGCCAGACCAAACGGAACGCTGGTGTGGACGACAAGAGATGGACCGAGACCTGGAGCATCTCAGACAATATATGGATAAATGTGAAAATTTGAGACAAATATTTTATTTCTTGTGGAGATACTTAAAGTGTAATTAAACCTCAAATCAATTTTATTTGCTGAAACAGTCTAAATAGATTATTTATGGTTTTATTATGTTACTGTGCAAATTTTAACATTTTCATTTAAATTTGTTTAGTTCTGCTGTCTTTTATCGAAAACCATCTCACTGCTGGGCCTCATTTGGTTGAACGGTGCTTCAGCAGTTGAATTCTGCTATTGGTTACAAAGACATAGCTTGGTACAACTCTGTCATAGTCCCGCCCGGTGGCAAGTCAGGAGTTGGGACAGCAAGCCACTCGTGACTGTGGAGAGCATTGATTGATAGCATTAATCAGTTTTAATCAATTTCCACAATGTATTTGCAGTGTGGACATGGAGTAGAATGGGTATGTAAGTATGGTGTTCAAATCAGCATGTTACTGGAGTGCTTAGGAAGCAGAAGATGCTACGGTAGCCCTAGATCAGGGGTCACCAACTCAAGCCCTCCAGGGCTACCATCCTGCAACTTTTAGATTCACCTCTGCTCCAAAATGTCTGAATTCCCTCACCAGCATTCATTCCTCTCTGCAATAGGCTGGAAACTAGCAGTTTATTTGATCCAGGTGTGTTTGACCAGAGACGCATCTAAAAGTTACAGGATGGTAGGACTGGAGTTGGTGACCCCTGACCTAGATGCTCTGTTCATTATAGAGTCGGGCTGCAGCTGAACTGCAGAGTGTTGTCACCACTAAAATCGTCAACAGAAAAAAAAATTTCTCTACATTTGTCTTTAGTTGTTTTGTTTTTTTAACAAAAGTCTACAGAGGGGCCTGGAAAGTCAATAAATGTAGCAACAAAGTGGATAAGTTGACACGTCTGGCAGATGTTTTTTTTTCAAAATCTGCCAGGGGCAGGGTTATGCTTTCACAAGTTAGTTATACTTTAAGTTGTGATGCTACACAAACAATTTATATGTTCCAAGTACAAAACTTTGTTAATAATAGTTGATTTATAGTTAATAATAGTTGATGCTAGTGACATTATTTGTCAGATACAGATGGGTGAAGATACCTGAGCTGCGTTTCTTGTTGTCCACAGCGATGTAGCGGATGCAGTGGCTGTCAGTGACGTACCGCGCTCCCCAGGAAAAACTGAAGACAACGTCCGGAGAGAAGAAGAGTGCAATAGCGAAGCGGGATGAGTACCTGACACCCTCCAACTGCTCTCTTTGCTGGACAGACAGTACTGAGAAACAGAATCACAGACAGTCTGTAATACGACTTGCATCATGGGAAATGTAATGCCTGGATGCTTGATCCTAGGTACTTCAACTCATCAAATGTCACCATGACTACTGCTTTTAGAGACTTGAGTTTTGCTAATACACTATGTCCCTGGAGTCTCTTATCTGCTCCCTGAAGTTCCAGACAGCAGATGAACTGCTTGTGACCTTTAAACCTCTCTGAGCAAACTCAGCATCTGTAAATAACTTTATGCGTGAAACATAACTGATTGATTCTTCTTGAAGACTTTCACTAGGTGTCCCACAGATCTTTATGTTCTGAAACATCAGTTACATCTGTCCTCTGCTGTGTATAGGCACCAAGTCGAGAGGCAGAGCAGGAGGATGCATCTTCCTGCACAGGTGAACATAGTGCGGCAGATCAGAGCAGCAGAGAAGAAGAGGGAGGGAAGAAAAAAGTAAGCACAAAGAATCTGGCTGCTGGGACCCAGATGAACTGAAATAACCATTAAATTACTACAATTCAGTTGCAATTTCAGTTGTACACTGTGAATATAGTAAATAAATGTTTTGTTTTTTTAAAAACATTCCATTTAAAAATGGTTATAATTAAAATAGTGCTGTCAATCAATAAAAAAATGTAATCAGATTAATCATTCAGTGTAAGGTTAAAATATAAATATGCACAAAGGGAACCATTCCTCGCTCTGCAGCAATGGTTCCCTGGGCAAGCCCCTCTTTCTGCCGTATTCCAACTAATTATCTAGTTTTATTTTTTATTTTTGCAGCAGAATACACATAATTTAGTATTCAACAGCAACTAATGGAAACTTACTTCACTGCACATGAATGCAAGTAGTAGCCAACTTGTGCACGGGTCAACTGACAGCATATATTTATTTTCTAGTTTTTGAGTGCCCCACCCCTTTCTGATGCCCTCTGGGCAACTACATGTAGCCCATATCAAAAATCGCCACTCCATGCACATTTTCAGAAAATGTTTAATTGTTTCAAACCAAACATGTTCAAAGACTCTCAGTTTTCCCAAGTTTTTATATTCAGGAAGGTTTAAACTTTCACCTTTCATTGTTGCTCCCCGTGAGTTGAGTCCATAACACATTGCTGTGAACTAGGTAACAGACTTTTAGGTCAAAATAGGACATTCAACTAATCTGCATTAAGTAAAATTAATATGTTAAAATTTACAGAATAATTGCTTGTGTTAACTTTGACAGCCCTAAATTAAAACTATTGTTGTTCTGCAGTCGTGTTGCCAGAATCGTGTCAGCCAACCTGTTTAAAAACATCGTAGAGGAAACCCTGGACTCACATCTAGCTCACCATCACCCTTCTCTTTTCTTCCCCTCTCTGTCATACAACTAAACCTGCCAGCATTTGGGTCCAATTCATTCAACTCAGTCAAATGTCCAAAAATGTAAAAATTCTGCTACATCTTTTACCACCACAGGATGCCAGGAAAATTTTTAAATGTAGCTCTTATATTAAAATTGATTAAATTAATAGACGTTATTACATTTGATATAATGGTCTCTGATTACTTCTATTTGACTCGTCCTTTTTATTGTAAATACAGTAGACAAGTTACTTGTTAATTGAGATGAATCAATCACTTAATTAATCAGACCCTGTCCATCCCATAGAATTTATAGTCCCTATATAAAACACTGAAACTAATTTTCATTTGTTAACAAATGGCAAATATGTTTGAAAAATGTGTTCAAACACCTGTGTCCAACACACGTTCCAACTCTATTACTGTTAGTCCAGCTGATTTTTCCAACATGGAAGTAAAAATGTAAAAGTAGCGACTAATAATGGAACACAACATTGTGCACTGCAAATAAATTAATCTCATTAGAAGTGCACCCTTGATAATAAATGGTCTGTACTTTTATAACACTTTATCAAATCTAGAGGACATGACACACACAGATGGTGACAAGCTCAGTAGCATATGGCTGATAGCATAGTACATGGCTATGATGTCATATGGCAGATGCACCTCACAGATGTAAGGCTGCCATGCACCGGCACCACTCGCTCTTTATTAGGTACACCTGTCCAACCGTTTCCTAACACAAATGTCGAATCAGCCAATCACATAACAGCAACTCAATGCATTTAGACATGTTCTGTGGGCACAAATGCCTTGTTGATGCCAGAGGTCAGAGGAAAATGGCTAGACTGGTTCAATCTGATAGAACGGCAACAGTAACTCAAATAACCACTTGTTACAGCCGAGGTATGCAGAAGAGCATCTCTGAACAACACGCTGAACCTTTAGGCAGACGGGCTACAGCAGCAGAAGACCACACCGGGTGCCACTTCTGTCAGCTAAGAACAGGAAACTGAGGCTACAATTCACACAGGCTCACTAGAATTGGACAAAGAACATTGGAAAAACGTTGCCTAGTCTGATGAGTCTCGATTTCTGTTGCGACATTTGGATGGTAGAGTCAGAATTTGGCATCACCAACATGAAAGCATGGATCCATCCTGCCTTGTATCAATGGTTCAGGCTGGTGGTGGTGGTGCAGTGGTGTGGGGGATATTTTCCTGGCACACTTTGGGCCCATTAGTCACAGCCTACCTGAGTATTGACCATGTCCATCTCTTAATGACCACAGTGTACCCATCTTTTGATGGCTACTTCCAGCAGGATAATGCGCCATGTCATAAAGCGCCAGTCATCTCAGACTGGTTTCTTGAACACGACTGAACTCGAATGGCCTCCACAGTCACCAGATCTCAATCCAATAGAAAACCTTTGGGATGTGGTGGAACAGGAGATTTGCATCATGGATGTACAGCTGACAAATCCACATCGACTACGTGATGCTATCATGTCAATATGGACCAGACTCTCTGAGGAATGTTTCCAGTACCTTGTTGAATCTATGCCACAAAGGATTAAGGCAGTTCTGACAGCAAAAGGGGACCAACCTGGTACTAGCAAGGTGTACCCAATAAAGTGGCCGGTTTACATTAAGGTTAAGGACACAAACTGAGTCACTACATTAAATGGAAGTCAATACTCAGTCCTAATATGGTTAGAAATACATATGCATGCATGTGTTTAACTGCTGCTCTGAGAACAATGTCTGTTCAGCAAAAACTAACGATTATTCTATGGGACCACAGAGGTTATAAAGCTGCTGCTGCATCCATGCGTTCATAGGCTGTACCTAAATCAGAGCATAGGTCATTATCTAGCATTCCTCTGCAGCAGCTCACGAGACCTGTACATAGGTCAGGTGACACAAAGGCTCAAACTTGTTCTGCTTCTGGTTGTGTTTGTGACGGTCTTACAGGTCCCCAGGTCTCCCTGCAGCTGAAGGATCTGAGGCACAGGAATTGTCAAGACAACAGCGTCAAATTTCTCACTGCCTCCCTTCCTCTCCACTTTCCATGATGCTCCACAGCGGTGTAGGCCAGTCACATGATATTCGAGGTACAAATCAGCTCCTGTGGCAAAAAGACAGTTTCAGACCTGAAGAACTCTATACCTTTAAGTTATATTATGTTCTGCTGTTGCTGTTAATTAATAATTTGATCTGTTTCTAATCAGAGTATCAAACTGTTGGACCACAGGTTGAAAATAAGATAATAAGAGGAACAGTTTGCTATGTTCTGATCTCCTCTCTGTACAGGGTCTCATCATTGTTTGTTATCAGACCCACTATAGTGATATCATTTGCAAACTTTAGAACCCTGTTAGAGGAATGGATGGCTACACAGTCAAGGGTGAACACCCTGAGGTGTGACTGTACTGAAAACCGGGTGGATGATGTTTGGTCCCCTATTCTTACCACCTAAGGCGGTTTGTGAGAAAGTCCCACACAACCAACCTCAGGTGTGAGGGACCTGAGGTTGGTTGTGAGGAGACATCAAAGGCACATTGATATTGAAAATCCCAGGTCATGGAGCTTCTCCATGATGATGATGAACTGAAGTTAATGAATAGCATCCTAACATAAGTGTCAGGATGGTGCAGATGTGTCAGGACAGTGTGTAGTGCAATGGACCGGTTCCTCCTATAGGCAAACTGGTGCCTATCCAGGCATTCAGCAGAATTTTTCTGAATTCTGCTGAATGCCTTCCTGCAATTTCTCAATTCAAACAATATTTATTAAACCAAGTGTGCAATTAATGACTAAATGCGACAATATCAATAGCAAATTAAATCGGAATTTACCCACTGTTTTCATCTTTAAAAATATAACAAAGTGCTTCAGCAGAACATAGAGTGTTTGAAAAATATTTACATGTATCTTTTTTTTTTTAGCAGAACATTGTTCAAAACAAAAAATCTCAGGCATTTCACATCTGAATATCCATCCATCCAT